AATAATAGTAAAAGTAATAAATGGTTAATTTATTTAATTATTAAATTCATAATACTATATGTAATATATTTTTCTTTACTAAAATAACCAGTCACTTCTTCAAATGAATCAAATGTTATAACTAATTCTTGTAAAAGTTCCTATTTATTAGAACTTAACATAATTTTTTAAATTATTTTCTGTTTTTTTTTATATCAATATTTTTATTATTTACTAATTCTATAATTAGCATTTAAATATAATCTTTAATTTTAATTAACCTATTCTAAGCATAATAATTTGAATTCTATCTGGTTAAAATATCTGCAATTATTTAAAAGAAATATTCAATAGTTTTATCAGAATTTTAAATATTATAAAAATTATTATATAAATATAAAAAATAATTTGAATAATTAATAAATAATTATAAAATTAAAATCTTTATCACATTAACTTTATTTTGTGATTTTTTTTAAATTTTTTCTAATCTTTGATTTTGTTTTGATCTTAAAAAAAATTAATCAGTTTTTTTGTTCTTAAAAACTAATAGTTTAACAAAATTTAACTCTTTTTCTCTACTAATTATAATGTGTATATAACATTTAGTTATCACTTTATATTTAAAGCAATTTCATTTATTTCTTTTATTGCTTTTTTTCATATTTGCCTATTATTAGTTACTATTACATTTGTTATATTTCTTAAATCTCTATTTATCTAAAATAATAAATAATACATCAGATATATTTTGTGTATTATGAAAATATCTAATATTTTTAATTGTAAAAATAATTTCATGAATAGTAAAAATTTTTATCTAAGAAAGAATAAGTAACATCCAAAAATCCTAGTTTATTTTTACTAGTTTACATATCAGTAGTTAAACTAATTGAAATTACATTATTTTTAATAAATTTTTGAATTAAAGGAAGTGTATAATTATAAATACTTTAAATGGTTTGCTTAATTAATTTAATATTTGAAATATTAAATGCTGAATCAAATTCTTTTATGAATTTTTAAAAAGATTCTAATTATGTAATATTTAAAGGTTGAGTATCAAAAATTATCTAACTAATTAATAAATTATAAAGTTCAATTTAATGAGATTTCTTATGTGATATAACTTCTAACTCATGAGATTCTTGAAGCTAAAAATATATTAAATAATTAATTAATACTAAATTATTAAATTTAAATAAATAAATTATTATTTATTTAATTTATTTTTTACTATATAATTTTGCTTAATTGTTTTTTTTAATTATTTAATGCTTATTACTTAAATAGTCTATTAAAATATCTGTTGAACTTTTATGCTAATATATTTTATCACATATTTTACTTATGATAAACTCTACTTAATATGTAGTAATTCTATTATTAGATACAAATCAATTCCATACCTAACTTCTTTTTTATAACCCTTCTCTTTTTTTTTGAGTCTAATTTGAATTATTTTGATTATTTTCAATAGAACTTAAATTTGTGTTTATAAATTTATTAAAAATTTATTATAAAAATGAAAAAATAATTAAAAAAAAAAAAAGTATGTATAAATCAAAAAAAAAGTATATATAACAAATATTTTTAGATAAAACAAAAATTTTATATAAAAATTTTATAGAATATCTTAATTAAATTGCTATTATTTATTTTATAAAAACAAATTTTTTTTTTTAAATTTGCTATTTAAAGTTTGTATAAATTTATGCATATAAAAAAAAAATCAAAAAAATATTTATAATATCATTCTTAAAATCAAAAAAAGTGAAATTTATCTATTCTTAACATACCTTTTATAATTAAATTGAAATTACAGTTCAAGAAGATATTTCCTAAAGAAAAAAAGTAAAAAAATATTAATGACGTTCTAAAGTCAAAAAAAAATAAAAACAATCCTTTACACTAACTTACCTTTATTGTCTAAGCTAAAATCCAGATTAGAAAGGCATTTTCCAAAGAAAAAAATAAAAGAAATATTAATAACATTCTCAAGATAAAAAAAAACAAAAACAATCTTCTATACTAACTTACCTTCATAGCTTAAGCTTAAATCCAGTCTAAGAAGGTATCTTTTAAAAAAAAGAAGTAAATAAAATGTTAATGATATTTTCAATAATAAAAAAAACAAAAACACTAACTTACTTTTATAGTTTAGCTAAAATTCTGATCTAGAAAAGTATTTACTAAAAAAAGAAGTAAAATAAAAGTTAGTAATATTTTCAAGACAAAAAAAAAGAAAGAATTTTTATATTTACCATTTGAATTTAAGCTGTTTAAGTTAAAATTCTAATTATTATAAAGTATAAAGTCTAGAAAGAGAATAAGTGAATAAATAAGTGAGTGAGAGACTGTCTTTATAGATAAAAGTTTTAAAAATAATAATTATAATATGTAATTAGATTTAATATAATTGTAAAAAAAATTAGATAAAAAATTTATACTTATCTAAATCAAATTGATCAAATTTTTGATGAATCATTTATTTAATTTGTTTATCAGATATTTGATAATCTATCTAATCAATCTGGTGATATAAATAAATCAACCTGAATTTGATCAAATTTCAGATGGATAACTGAATATCTGGATTAATCAGATTCAGAGCATACCTTTATAGTGAGTTATTAATTATATGTGTTATTAATAGTATTCTGCAAAATTAGATCAGATCAGATTTTACTCAAATCTGATCTGATCAATTTTCATTTTTTAGGATCCAAATTTGATTTGAATCTGATAGATTAAATCTTAAATCCAAATCTGATGGATCAGTTTAAATCTGATCCAAATTCAAAAAAATTTATTAAAAATGATTTTTCAATTTTAAAAGAGATCTGAATATATATTTTTTTTAATGAAAATAAACCTTTTCAGTTATAAAAGAAATCTGAAAAATTATTCCTTTTTAATGAAAAGAACCTTTTAATTCTAAAATAAATCTGAAAATTTGTTTCTTTTCAATAAAAGAAATTTTTTAACTTTAAAAGAGATCTAAAATTTTATCCTTTTTAATAAAAGAAATCAAATTTTCAGATCTAAAAAAGATTTGAAAATTTATTCCTTTTTAATAAAGAAAATAAATTTTCAGATCTAAAAGTATCTGAAAATTTAATGAAAAAAATCTTTCAGTTTTAAAGAATTTGAAAATTTATTTTCTTTTTAATGAAAGAAACCTTTTAGCTCTAAAAGAGTTTGAAAATTCATTTCTTTTAAATGAAAGGAACTTTTAACTCTAAAAAAGATCTGTAAATTCGTTCTTTTCAATGAAAGAAATTTTTTAGTTTAAAAGAAATCTAAAAATTTATTCTTTTTTTAATAAAAAGAACTTTTAGCTCTAAAAGAGATCTGAAAATTCATTTTTTTTAATGAAAGAAACTTTTTAATTCTAAAGAAATCTAAAAATTCATTCTTTTTTAATGAAAGAAAACAAATTTTCAACTCTAAAGAAATCTAAAAATTTGTTTCTTTTTAATAAAATAAACTTTTAGTTTTAAAATATTTGAATTCAGATCTGAAGAATTAGATCTGAATCTGACAGATTTGATCTATTAGATTCAGATTGAATTCAGATCAATCTAATATGTATAAAATACTAGATGTTAATTATTTTTTTAATTTGATTAAAATTTTAAATCAAGTTTTTTCATAATCATCTTATTGATTTGAATAAAAAATTTTATTTGTTACATTATATTTTATATTTTATATTTCAATAAAAATTTATTTTTCAAAATAATTTTTATAAAAAAATGATTACTTAACATAAAGAATTTTCTGATTTTTAACGCAATGTAAATTATAAATGCTTAGAAGTGTAGTTATAATAAAGAAAAATAAGTAAAGTATTAAATTATCCAAAAAGTACTATTCATAATATTATTTTTATATATAAAAATAATAGTTTTAAAATACTTTTTTTTTGAAATGATAGATTACCTATTTTAATGAAAGAAATAATTGTCATTTAATGCAAAATATTAATAAAATTATAGAATTAATATTAATAAATTATATGAAAAATTTTGTTACTTTTACTTTAATAATGTAAGTCAAATTATTTTTAAAAAATATCTTCATAATAATAAAGTTTTTAGAAGAATTGAAGCAAAAAAACCTTTATAAATGCAGCTAATAAAATAAAAAGAATAATATAGGCTAAAAATAGAAAAGATTGAAAAAATGAATGGAAAAGTATTATTTGGAGTGATGAATCTTAGTAAAGTATTTTTAAAGGATATAGAAAAAGATATTTGAAGAAATACTCAAAAAAAATATGATCTAAAATATCTTATTCTTAAATTTAAATCAGATCAACAGAATATTATAATTTAAAATTATTTTATAAAAAATAAATTAGGTCTATTGGTCAAATTAAATAGTAGAATAACAGAAAATATATATATATAAATATGTTAAAAAAAACTATTTATTATAATTTATAAATAGTTTAGAAAATAAAAATAATTATATTTTTTAAGAAGATAATGCTTCTATTTATAAAGCAAAAGTAATAAAAAAATGGGAAGTAGAAAATAAAGTTATAAGCTTACCATAACCTATACAGAGCCTAGATTTAAATCCTATAGAAAATTTATGAAATAAATTGGATAGATAAGTTAGAAAACATAAACTACTATTAAAAAATCAAGATAATTTATAGCAGAATTTGCAGGACAAATGGCTAAAACTTGATGAAAGTATATATAAAAATCTTATTGATAATATGTCATATCATATTACTGCTGTTATTGAAAATAAAGGTAATTCTACAAAATATTAATAATAAAATTATAAAATATATATTTAAATAATTAATATAAAAAATTTTTATAAAAATTGATGTGATAATTTATAAGTTATCTCAATTTAAAATTTGATATAATTTTTCAAAAATAATATTTACTATACTATACAAATGGTCATTCTATTTAATTAAATTTTGGTTAATAAAAATTTTTTTAATTTTATTTACATATTCTAAAAGAATTTTCTAATATTTAATAAATGTTCATTTATAAGTTTATATTTAAATTATCAACTATTATATAACAAGCAGAAAATCCAACACTATTCATTGTATCAATTGCATTATGTGTTGCTTCTGATGCTGATAAATATAATCCAACTTCTAATTTTAAATCATTAACAAACTTATTTTGCATTCCAGCTATAATATAAAATAAGCTCACAATTATCTTAATTTTATTATATGCAGATCTGTTATCAAGAACCAACGTCTTTACTAATTTATCAAAAAGGTCTTGTAAACTTGGATCTGCTTCTTTAATTATTTGATCATTTGTTTAAAATGGGTAGGATTAATTTTAAATTATCATGCTGATATATAAAACCTTTGTAAGCATAGTAATCTGCTCGAAAAATGAATAGCTTTTTAATTCTATATGTATAAATAAAAAGATTAGTCTTAAAAAAAATTTACAGTATTATAATGTAATTAGTTGTAAAAATAATAAAATTGGTATCTGAGCCCGGTTAATATGTAGATAATTATGAAAGTCTGGATGATTGAATGCAACTCTGATTTTATTATTTTTGCGGTTAACTAATAATAATTTTATATTTACAATGTGTTATATTTTCGTGATTCTAAAAAGAGGAATTTCTGACTTATGTTTCTGATAAGGTTCAACAATGCTCATATAATGATTATGACACAATTGTTGTCCGATTCTTAGATATGTATATGCTTTGTAAGTTCCTTTTTTTTGAGCTTTCTCATATGCTAATGAAGTAAATTGTCAAAAACGGGATATTTGATTATTAAAATTTTGTAGAGTTCCGAATGAGTCGAGTTGAGTCAAGTTTAAGGATCAACTTGATTCAACTCGTTTTTTTCGAGTCGAGTCAAGTCAAATTTATTTTATAAAATTTTTCAACTCGACTTGATTCGAGTTATATGAATTTTAAACTCGACTCAATTTGACTCAACTCGAGTTTGACTCGACTTGATTTTGACTTGAATTTATTTGAGTTGAG